AAGTGGGATACAAATATTGAGTCAACTCAACACGATCGGAAGCCACAGCAGCACAGAAACAGAGAACTGCTGAGTTGAAAGCCCAGCTATCAGATGACAGACCGCCATCCAGCCGCCGCTGAAAAACTTCCAGTGAAGGAAGAGTCCACCACTGACGGCCACTAGCCAGGTTGGAGGCAGCGATGCTTCTGAACGCTGGAAACCCAGGAGGAGAGAGTTGCTTTTGTGTTCCAATCCTGCTTGCAGACTCCCTTTTAAGGCATCTGGCCAGCTGCTGTGAGAACAGGGTGCTGGGCTAGATGGGCCATGGGCCTCATCCAGCAGAGGCTCTTCCTATGTTCTGAAAAGCGCCAGAGAAACAATGAAGGAGAGCAGGAGAAGCAGAAGAATGCAATTCTGTATGATTCAACACCTGGCCACATTTTTGAAAACTGAATGCAAAACTTTGAATTTTGAGGCTTGGAGTTACTTTGCATATTTCTTAATACTTGTCACCCATGACCTGTAATGATCCTAAATCCATCAATATTTGTCCTTTACCGAGTCAAACCCTTTGGTGCATCTAGCTGAGTAATGTCCTCACCAACTGGCAGCACCTGTCCAAGGTGTCAGGCTGCAGGCATTCCCAGCTCTACCCAGGGATTGAACCTGACACTGTCTGCATGCAAAACGTGCTCAGCGACTGAGTCAAGAGCCTTCCCCTTCTCAAGCTATGACCAGTTTAACGCCCTTTTTTAGGTGAAAACAGAATATGGGATTGCATGGGTCTTGGTTTGATCCATCAAAGCAATACGCATGCTCTCAATTGATTTAAATGTCCATTTGTTTTTGTTGTTTAGTCGTTTAGTCGTGTCCGCCTCTTCATGGCCCCCTGGACCAGAGCATGCCAGGCACTCCTGTCTTCCACTGCCTCCCGCAGTTTGGTCAAACTCATGCTGGTAGCTTCAAGAACACTGTCCAACCATCTTGTCCTCTGTCGTCCCCTTCTCCTTGTGCCCTCCATCTTTCCCAACATCAGGGTCTTTTCCAGGGAGTCTTCTCTTCTCATGAGGCGGCCAAAGTACTGGAGCCTCAGCTTCAGGATCTGTCCTTCCAGTGAGCACTCAGGGCTGATTTCCTTCAGAATGGAGAGGTTTGATCTTCTTGCAGTCCATGGGACTCTCAAAAGTCTCCTCCAGCACCATAATTTAAAAGCATCAATTCTTCGGCGATCAGCCATATGTCTATAATGTCCATAATGTCCATTTACTTGTACATTATCTGTAATGATCCTAAATCCATCAATATTCATAATATTACACACACAAACACAATCAGAATGTAACCATTGTGTTTTCTTCTGCCCCCAAATGCCATTTTCATGAGATTTTTTTCCTTCATCCTCCAGTAAGACAGGGAGAAGGAGGTCTGGGCTCATGCCTATGGAAGAGCAGAAAGCTGTATCTGGAAGGCAAAGAGCAGGGGTTGGCAAGGTTGCCTGGGCTTGTTCACTCCAGCGGAGATCCCTCTGTGGGCTGGATCCTGCTCCCGCCAACGATTTCCAGTGTCTGTGTTTGTGCAGACACAATTTTCGGTGCCACAGAAGCGAGTCCCTGCGCCAGGCCGTGCTGGTTTAGCACAGCGTGTGGGGGCTCGCCCAGCAGGCGGCTTGGTTTGGGGGTGGCTCATGGGCCGGTTAAACACCCCCGCAGGCCGCTTGTGGCCCAAGGGCCTCAGGTTGCTGACTTCTGGCAAAGAGGGTTGAGGGGTTCATTGCACCGTTTGATGGAGGACAGAACCTGTCAGCCCCCTGCTCTGGGTTGCTCATTGGTCAATTTGGGGCCAGCTTGATGAGGAAAGGCCGTAACTCAGGGACATCTCTGGGCAGGACTGGTAGACGCCTCCCTGCCTGGGACCTTGGGAAGCCACTGCTGCCAGCCAGAGCACGCACTATGCACTAGATGGGCTGAGGGCTTGACTCACCCCAAGGCAGCTTCCCTGGTCCCCATGGCCCTTGCAGCCAGCTCTGGGCTTTCACCCCAGCCATTGCACATTCCCCACCCCCAACCGGAGACCCTTTGGGGCAGAGCTCCTGATCTGTCCCGGGCAAACAGTCCAGGGTCGGGGCCACCGCTGCTGCCAGGGAAGGGCTCCCTGACCTGCTCCTGTTCTCCGCATTAATGATTAACACAAGACGGAGCAAGGAGCGCGGAGAGCGTTTGATGTGGTCTGTCTGGGTTTGTTCAAGAGCATCAAGAGTCCTGGGGAGGAACTTGAAAAGCGCAAATATTTGTGCGGGGATAAAAACTCCAGGGAAGGAGGCTGAGGGGGATGAAGTTGCGAGAGGGGAGTTGTGGGGTGGGGAAGGGGGGCCACAGAGGAAGAGGAACCTCACCTGCGGCCTCTGCCTGCTCCTCCCTGGCGCAGCTCACACAGGCCAGGCAAGCAAGTCTCATGTGGGGCTCAGTTCCAGCCCCCCAGGAGAGAATTGGGACAAACGTCTCCCCAGCCTTGAGGCTTTCTCAGCTCCTCATGCACACAGGGTTAAGCATCTTTGCTTGTGAGCACGGTGCCTTGCCAATTAAATGTTCTGATGTATTAAGAGTGCCTACCCAAAGCACAATCCTTTGATTTTGATTTTTTAAAGAGAAAGGCAGGTGTGGCTTTGGTTAATCGTATGGCTATAGTTACTAGGCAATGTCAAAAGGCCACTCTTAAAATCACAGAATCAAATAATTATAAGACTTGGAAGGGACCCTGCAAGGTCCTCCAGACAACCCCCCCTGCAGTGCAGGACTCACAGGCAAAGTATCCCTGACAGACAGCCATCTGAGCTCTTTAAAAACCACCAAGGAAGGGGAGCCCAGCACCGTCGGCTGTGTTTAACTTTGAGTGCTTATAAGGGAGGGGCATTTGACCAGTCTTCCCCAACCTTGTGCCCTCCAGCTGTTTAAGGTGTCCTTCTTCTTTGGTGATCCCTTGTAGCCGAGTAAGATTGTCTTCCATGAACACGGTTTAACAATGAGTCCATAAATGACTGTGGAGGCCAATTCTGGATCCACACATCCTTCCACAGTGGGGACATTGGTTTCTGGGCAGGATTTGATCATGGTGAGGGTTTGCCAAGTGTGCCTTCCTCTTAGCGCATTTCTTAAGTTTGGAGTAGAGTAGTTGCTTTTGTCTTCCATAAACAAGATTTTAAAAGTGAGTCCGTAACTGACTGTGGAGGCCAATTCTGGATCCACACGTCCTTCCACAGTGGGGACATTGGTTTCCAGGCGAGTGCTGATCACGGAGTGGATTTGCCAAGTGTGCCTTCCTCTTAGCACATTTCTCCCTTGCGTCCGAGTTTGAGTGTCTTCAAAGCCCAGGACACCTTTGGTCAAGGCTGTTCTCCAACTGGAGCGCTTGCAGGCCAGTCTTTCCCAATTGCTCGTGTTTATACTACATTTTTTAAAGATTTGCCTTGAGACAGTCTTTAAACCTCTTTTGTTGACCACCAGCATTACGCTTTCCATTTTTAAGTTTGGAATAGAGTAGTTGCTTTGGAAGGCGATGATCAGGCCTCCGCACAACATGACCAGTCCAACGAAGTTGATGTTGAAGAATCATTGCTTCAACACTGGGGATCTTTGCTTCTTCCAGTACACTGGCATTAGTTTGCCTGTCTTCCCAAGTGATGTGTAAAAATTTTTGGAGACACCATTGATGGAATGTCAAAACACCTGGAGGGAATCAGTTCTGGGGAGGCCTCCGGCCCTAGGCCAGGAGGAGTTGAGAACCTCAGGCGCAGGAGCTGAATACGGCCCTCCATGCCTCTCTGCCTGGCCCTTGGGAGCCTCTGCAGCTACACCTGCTCTTGCCACCCAGCACCACCCCTACTAGCCCTGACCCGCACCCTCCTTGTGTGTGAGGCTGCCTGGCTGGGAGGCGCCTTGAACCCCTGAGAGCCTCATGCTTCCTGCTGGTGGAGGAGGAGAGGGAAGGAGTTTGGCGTAAAAGGAGGAGGCTGCTTATTGGTTGGTCAGCTCTGTTCCTGTTCCTCCGCCCAGTTCTGCCTCTGGCTCCGCCCACCACTGGCACCGGACCCCAAAAAGATCGCCCAGAAGAGAATGTGGCCCCGACACTGTAAACGCCCTCCCCACACACTTCAGAAATCTCTCTGGGAACCTCCCCTCCCCAGTCCATCACAGACACAGCCCTGAGTGGAGGGGGTCCCAGGATGGGGAGGGTGGGCTTCAGGCAGAGACTTCTTTATGGGCTGCCAATGTGCGAGGGATGCTTTAGCCGAGATCCCTGCATTGCAGGGGGTTGGACTGGATGACCCCAGGGGTCCCTCTCAAGCACAGCGCTGCTTTTTTTAATGCAGGGAGGGAAGGAGAGAGAAGGGGCTTCCCTTGCAGGCGTCTCTCTCTCCTCCTCCTTCTCCCTCCTCCATCATCATCCATGTTTCCCAGGAGACTTAAGAAGGGGCGTCTGGGGCTCAGCCAGGAGGGCAGCACTTAGCCTCCTGACAGACATGGTGGCCTCTGAGCCAAACAGGATTAGCCCTTCCTTCCTGGAGGAAAAACGGATTCCCAGGGTCATTTTCTCTCTCTCTCTCTCCCCCCCCCAGCAGCGCCAGCCTCCTTTCTGCCGGAATCGCATTCCTGACCACTCTGTGTGTGTGTGTGTGATGGGGCCACTTCCGTTTCCAGTGCGCTCGAGTCCCACTGGGAGCTCCCAAGTGTTGCATGGGCAAAGCTGTGGGATCTTCTGGACCCCCATTTGCATTGAGCGCAAGAACTCAAAGGTGGGAGAAGAGGCTGCAGGATCAGGCCCAAGACCCACCTGGTTTAGTATCCTGTTCTCGCAGTGGCTGGCCAACAAGAGGAGGAGGAGGCAAGTTCATGGAGGAGGGGGCTTCCGAGGGCCCCCAGCCAGCAGGGCTGGGCTCTGCCTCCATGGTCAGAATCATAGAATTGCAGAGGTGGAAGGGACCCTGAGGGTCATCCAGTCTGACCCCCTGCAATGCAAGGATATGCAGCTGTCCCCTACAGGGACCGAACCTGCAACCTGGGGGATATCAGCTCCACGCTCTCACCAACTGAGAAGTACAACTGAATAATATCCGTTGCTGGAAACTGCATGAGGGGAGAGTGCTGTTTTTGCGCTCGAATCCTGCCTGCGGGTTTCGCAGAATGGCCCCAGCTGCGTGGCCCCAGTGAGAACAGGGAGCCGGGCCCCTTTGGCCTCATCCAGGGGGCTCCTTTTAGTGGAGTGGAGAGAGAACGGCTTTCCCCTGCCCTGGAGGTTTACTCAGCTGCACCCAGCAGAGGGAAGTCCCTTTCCTGGGGCCAAGGCGGCTGCGTCTTGCTGCAGGCACCGCTCCCAACATCGCCCCCCCCTCGCTTGCCGTTGGGGGAGCCCCCTCTCCTGCGACCAACTCCTGGCTCTCAAAGTGCCAAGTGTGAAGGATGAAAGGAGGCCCAAGGAGGCGTCTCCCCCGCTCGCCGCCCCCTTACCTGGTGCTGCCGAGAATGACCTCAGGCCTGGAGCTGTTCTCAGGGTGTCGGTTTGCAAGGCCTGTCAGCGGGTCTTTTCATCTCGACCTTCCCTGAACCACATGGGCTCATTATTGTGTTCCAGTTTCTGACACTCCGGAACGGGGCCAGTCTGGCAGGCTCTGCTGTGCCAGGCATTTGAAGAGGGTGCCCTGCTCCACGCCCCCCGGCTGAGCTGCCAGGCACTCCAGCAGGGTGCAAGTCTCCAGAATGATGGCAGGCTGGATTAAATGGCAATAATAATAATAATAATAATAATAATAATAATAATTGGTGCTCTCTGGTTGACCTGGTTTGTCAGTGACGTAAGGCAGCACTGTTAACCTGTGGAACTCATGGCTGCAGGACGCAGTGAAGCCCACGGACTTGGAGAGCCTCAAAATCAGAGAAACCACAAAGGATGGCTACTACGCATAACGGCTGTGCCCACCTCTGAATACCAAATGCTGGGAACCACAAGGGGGAAGAGCGGCGGGGGCTGCTGTGCTCATGATTTACTGCTTGGGGGCTTCCCAAGAGAGACTTCTGTTTGGCCACTGTGAGAATAATTCATAAAATTGTGCCTGGCGTGAAGAAGTGGATTGAAAAAAGTTTTTCTCCCTCTTTCACAACGCACCAACTTTTGTCCCCCTCTTTCCAGGCAGAGGCCCACTCTTAACGCTTCATGGCGTTCTGTGTGTGTTTTTTGCTCCCTCCCCAGGAAAACCTGCTCTCTGAAGCTGAATCAGAGCAAACGTCCATTTGTGCTTTCTGCAGATGGACGTTTGCTCCAAATGAGCTTAAAAGAGCAGGTTTCGGCGGAGCAGCTCTGGAAAGGTAAGTGTGGTTAAACCCCAAATGAAGTTTTTAATGTCTGATGCTGCACTGTTTTTAATATTCAGTTGGAAGCCGCCCAGAGTGGCTGAGGAAACCCAGCCAGATGGGCGGGGTATAAATAATAATAAATTATTATTATTATTATTATTATTATTATTATTATTACGTGCCAGTCAGAGAGCAGGAAGGGGCACCTCGGAATTAGGGGTCCTTGGAGCAGGTCCCGCCCTGGGGGGGCACAAATGGGAGGTGGTGGACTCCCCTTCCTTGGAGGTTCTTAAGCAGAGATTGGGTGGCCATGTGCCAGGGACTTTTTAGCTGTGATTCCTGCGCTGTCGGGGGCTTGGACTAGATGACTCTTGGGGTCCCTGCCAACTCTACAGTTCTGTGAATTGTTTTCCCCGGGGCTTTCCCAGGGCCGGTGAAGGTGGGGGGTCCCTCCCTGCTCCCCAGAGCCAAGACTGGGCCTGGGGGGTGCACTTTCTCCCCCCTCCCCGCCCATGTGGGGCTGGAGCCTCTTTCATGGAGTTATGCCAGGAATGTTTTCCGGGGAAGCGGAGAAGGCAAGGGAGGGGGGAACTTAATCCTCTCCAAGGGCTGCGGAAAACAGACATGCAAATGGGGGCTTGCCAGCTCTTCAAGCGCCGCCGGCTTTCTTCGGGAATTACCGCCCGCCGAGCCCGCTAACGCTGACAGGCCGAGCCGCGGGGCTTGGCAGCGCAGCCGGCAGAGTGTGGGAAAGGGCGGCCGCCACGCGCCGGGCAAGGCGAGACTCGACGGGGAGGACACTGGCAGCAGCGCCCCCCCCCCCCGAAACCCGCTCCGGGCAGGTAATTCACAGAGAGTGGCAGAAGGAAGCTTTGAAGGGCTTTACATTGGAATAATAATAATAATGATTAATAATAATAATAATAATAATAATAATAATAATTTAAATTGACAGGTGGTGTTTCTCTAGGTGAGGGGGTGGGGACTGTAATAACAAAAAAATCAGCTGTATATCAACCGCTGTTTTGCAATGATATATATTGCAAATAAGGAAGATCAAAAGGAGAATTTTTTTGGGGGGGGGCTTCCCACAGGGACTCTCTTCCTCTTCCTCCTCCTCCTCTCGTTCTTGCTCCTCTTCCTGGCAAAAGGGCTGCTGAGACCCCCCTCTCTCTTGGGTGCCGGTGGGGGCTGTGACGTTGACGCTGCCGTGGGAATGTTCAGGGTGGCAGGAGAGGATATATTGTTTATTAATATCCTTCCTAACTTGCATTAGGAAGTTCCTTTACTTAGCAGAGTGCATTCCTCTTTACACAGGAAGGGACCCCAGGGGCCATCTAGTCCAACCCCTGCAAAGGATATAGGTTATAGGATCAAGGTTGGAGGCACAGTAGCAGGAGGTTGGGCCAGGTGCCCCCGAGGTCCCTTCCAACTCTGCTGTTCAAGAATTATCTAACCCAGTGGTTTCAACCGGGTTGCTGTGGCCCCCTGGGGTGCCTTGACTGATGCTCAGGGGTGCCGTGGGCAACACTGGCCTCTGTCCCTCTTTCCTCTGATCCCTCTGGGTTCGAATTCCCACTCAGCCATGAAGCTCACTGGGTGCCCTTGAGTCAGCCTCACCTACCTCGCAAGGTTGTTGTGAAGAGGAAATGGGGAGGAGGAAAACCATGCAAGCCACTTTGAGATCATTGGAAGAGCAAGGTGGTATAAGGTCAGGTAACACGGGTTGCACTGTGGTCTAAACCCCCAGCCTCTTGGGCTTGCCGCTCAGAAGGTCGGCGGTTCGAATCCCCACAACGAGGTGAGCTCCCCTTGCTCTGTCCCAGCTCCTGCCCACCTAGAAGTTCAAAAGCACGCCAGTGCAAGTAGATAAATAGGTACTGCTCCGGCGGGAAGGTAAATGGTGTTTCTGTGTGCTCTGGCTTCCATCACGGTGTTCCGTTGCGCCAGAAGCGGTTTAGTCCTGCTGGCCACATGACCCGGAAAGCTGTTTGTGGACAAACGCCAGCTCCCTCGGCCTGAAAGCGAGATGAGCGCTGCAACCCCATAGTTGCCTTTGACTGGACTTAACCATCCAGGGGTTCTTTACTTTTTACCTTTATCTTTGTTATAAGAAAAAAACTGTTCCTTTTCCCTTACGGGGTACCCAAGAGCCCATCTAGAGTCCTTAAGTGGCTTCCCTATTGGTAGGAGAAAATAACATAGGCCAACCAGAAAATATTGAGAAGCAAAGCAGCTAGTAATCCTGATCTTTATTGAACTGTTGCAACAGTTTCCCCACTCACCACACACAGGAGGAAGAACCCTGAACAATGGCGCACAGGCCCTTATATAGACTTTTGAAATTGCCCCCCCCCCCCCCCGTGGCCCAAGACCACCTCCAAAAACATCACCACAGAAGGAGGCCGTTGGTCTCCAGCAGAAATCCCGCCTGCCAGGATACCTGTTAATGGTCACTGGTTGCATTACCTGGGCAGCCTGGCCATTCTTTTGTGATGGTCAGTACTTTAGTTTCCTGAATGCAGGTCACAGGCTCACCCCATTCATACACAAATACACCCTTCAGACAGGACCTGTAAGCACATAGACAATGGGGAGGCTGCCATTTGCCTCCCTTACTGCAGAGGAATATTTGAGGTCATTGGGAGAGTCAGAATGGCTTCAGGATTCTTCTCCTGTGCTATTTCAGACACGTGGTTTATATGTACTCATGTACGGTATGTTTTTGCCTTGTACATTTATGAACATGTATTTTATAGATCCGAGACTTTAGAATTCTTATAGCACCTTTTATATAAATATATTAAATTTAAAACCTATGGCTTTCATGCAGCAGGAGGGAAGAATTCTGCTTCCTCTCCCATTCAGGATTTCTGCCCTTGCACTGTTGTCTATTAAACAGGGACTTTTCCAGATTCTCTCTTAAAGAAAGGAAATGATGGTGGGTCTGGTGCAGACGTTAGCCTGCTCCTCTTCAGCCACATAACTGAAGAGGAATATTCCTAGGAAGCTGCCATGGACAGAGCCAGTCCGGTGACCCATTGACCTCAGCATCGCCTGCACTGACCGTCAGCAGCTCTCCAGGGGTTCGGATGGGGGGGGGACACACATCGCTAGGCCCCCCCGGAGATGCTGCCCAGGACAGAAGACCTGCATGCAAAGCAGATGGTCCAATCCTGCGCTATGGAAACCCCCTAGCCTGCCTGGAAGGATGTGGGGATGGTCTCCTTTTGGGAATGGGGCTGCAGGAAGAAGGAGGTGAAAGGAAGATGCAGCCCAGCTGCAGGTGGAACAGGGCTCTGAGAGAGGAGCATCACCTCTCAGGAATGGCCAGGTGGGCCCAGGTCCAGGTGTGTGTGGGGGGGTTGCCATGGTGACAAGGGGATCAGGTGCTTAAGGCGCCTGTTCAGACGCTGCAACAGGGTGGCCCCCCAGCAAGCCCCGGAGCAGCCCGTGGTGCCAGGTGAGCAAGTGGCCCTCTGTTTTGGGACAGAGGAGGGCAGGGATGGGCATGGGGGGCAGCTAGTCAAAAGATGCAAAGAGCCAGATGGCTGGATCCGACCCAAGGTCCATCTGGGCCAGCGCCTGGAAAGCCACTCCCCTGGCGGCCAATCCGTTTTGTGGAGTCCAATGGAGAAAGCAGGGACTGGGTGGGCGGCATGGCTGGGGGGGGCAGTTGTCAGAGGGAGGGGCACCTTCCCTGGGGAGCCACATTCTGGGGGAAGGAGGCCGGGATTGGCCCCCAAGGCCTGGGGTGTCCCACCTGTCTAGTAGGACTTGGAATCCAGGAGAAAACTCTTGGAATAGCCTTGCCAGGGGCTCAGGGATGAACTCCCCTCTTCCCGTGTCCTTTTCTTTGCAGTTCTGCTGCGGTTCCACATCCCTTCCCCAGGGGTGAGTATTGGAGAAAACAAGAGCAGGGAATGGATCCCTCAGACCTGCCCCCCGCTGCCCGCGCTCTTTGCCCCCCACTCTGCCCCCCACTCTGCCCTCTCCTCACGAGGAACTGACAGCCTGACTTTTGCACTGGGGGATGAACAGCTCTACCTCCTGGGGGTCATCCAGAACTGCCAGGCAGCTGAGCTCAGGGGGCTCTGAACTCTGAAGTACTCCAAGTAATAGATGGCCCAAGCCATTCTGGTGAGTGATGGGTGGTGTGAGGGACCCCCACGGGGAGGGAGGGGCTTTGGGGAAGGGGTTGTGCATCCCCCGGAGAGGAGGAGTCTGCCAGCTTAGGGCATGGGGCTGCTATTCCCCGGGAAAGCCAAGCCTGGTCTTGGGGGTCAGAGCCATCCTCTGGAGGCCCCCAGAAAGAGCTGACTTTCCTCCTCTGTTCTCTTCCAGGACATCTTGGGGCCCTTGGAGCATTGGGGGATTGCCGCTTGACCCTTGACCTGGACTTGGAGGCCCTCCTCCAGCTGAGGTGAGTGGGGTCCTTGGGATGGATGGGGTTGTGGGGGGTGGGTGGGGAGCAGAACTCCAGGGGGAGCTCCGGGTGGGGAAGAGCAGGTAGGAGGGAGAAGGGGCAAGGGAGACGGGGAGGGGGCAGCTTCTAACCCTCTCCCCTTCATCTCTGCAGCATCATGAAGCCAAAGTATAATGGTGAGATGCTCAGCGCCATCCTTCACGGGACCCTGGAGGCTGTTCTTGGGGGCCCACAAAAGGAGGAGGACAGAGAGGTATATCCTTGGTCTGGACTTCCCTTCTTCTTCTTCTTCACACACATGCAGAATCTAACTCAGCACTCAACTTCTTTTCTATCTTTTTCCGCAGGAACTGAAGCGGCGCTTCCGGCTCCTGCTGGGGAGTCTCTTGATGGAAGCCCCCAGTCCTGGCACCCTCCTCCAGCTGCTCAGTGTAAGTGTCCCCCCAACTGGCTTGGGGCTCGGGCCCTTGAGCCTGCCCTGCTGCTTTGGCCCCAACTGGCCCCAACTGTGACGCTCTTTCCTCCCGCAGGACCTCCGAGGATACGCCCTTGACGAAACCGGGGAGGCTCAAAGACTAGTGGCCAGCAGCATTTCTCTGCTTCTGGCCGTGGCGCGGAGATTCCCCCAACTCAGAGTAAGTACCTCGCCTTCTTTTCTCTGGTTGCTTCCATCCCCGCAAGAGCACATCCCCCAGTGACCTTTATCACAGATGATGCACTGTGTGTCCCTGGGGGCCAGGATGAGGCCAGAGGCTTTTCCTGCCCCCTTTCCTGCTGCTGCTGCTGCCCAGGGAGGTCCTCTGGGACAAGGGATTGGGCCCAAGGCAGAGGGAGGCCTGTCCTTCCTGGCTTGGGGCTGCTTCTGTGCTCTCTTGCACCCATTCAGGGTGGATTTCATAGTATCATCTGACCCCGATTTTTCTTTGCAGATGACAGTAATTCGGCCAGACCTGGCCTGCTTCCGGAGGAGACCCAAAGAAGGTGAGCCCCACACCTTAGAGACAGAGAACTGTCTTGTCCCTTGTTTGCTTGAAGGTCCGTTCTTCCCAGGTTTTCTTGCTGGGATCCTGCAGGACCTGCTCCCTGCCTGGCAGGCCTTTCCCACCTGGCCTGGGAGACCAGCGCCTGGACAGACTCTCATTTTCATTCTCTTCCATCCAGATGACATCATCATCGAAGACATGTATTCAGTGCAGACCTCGGGCTCCGCTGGACACCAGAGAGAGGCCACTGGGTAAGGAGGAAGGTGGTTTTTCTCCGTTTGGTCTCATTCGGTTGGTTTTCATACCTATCTCTGGGTTCTTTTCATCTTTTTGGGGGGCGGGACTCATGAGGCCAAGGGTCCAGAGGAGGGGAGATGTATAGGATCACCAAATTATTGTCCACTTGCGAAGACTTCTGAATCTGCAGCTCCTGGAACTCAAAGTGGAAATCTAGAGCCCGGTCAGAGGAATGAGAACCGATTGGTGAAAAGAGGAAAAAGAACTGGAGTCCTCCAAGCAGTAGATGGCCCAAGCCATTCTGGTGAGTGAGGATCCAAGAGGATGGAGAGCAGCCGTCTTTGACTGATGAAACTCGCTTGTTAGAAGGAGAAGGCATTTCTTTGGCTAAAGAGGAAGTGTAGAGATGCAAAGATCCACAGGATGGTCCTGAGAAGATTCCCTCGTTGAAAGGAGAAGAAATCTCTCGGGCTAAAGGAGGGCTGTACAAATATAAAGAACAACGAGGAGAGCAGAAATGCAAGGAGACCCTCGATGGCACTGAGAAGACAGCCCTGCGACTGTTGGGAGAATATGAAATGGAGGAAGAACGGCAAAATCCCAGGTATATGGACACTATCCCTAAAATATTGCTGAAGGAACCTGCTGGCTCTATTTGGATATCCCAGTTGGCCAAAGAGGCACCCATCCAGAGTGGCTTTCGTTGTATCATCTGACCTGGATTTTTCTTTCCTCTGCAGAAGACAGTAGTTCAGCCGGAGCTGGCCTGCTTCTGGCCAAGTCCAAAAGAAGGTGAGCCCCACACCTTGGGGACAGCGAACTCACTTGCCCCTTGTTTGCTTGAAGGTCTGTACCCAAGACTCACCTCTCAGGTCTTCTTGCTGGGAGTCCTGCAGGACCTGCTCCCTGCCTGGCAGGCCTTTCCCACCTGGTGTTCCTGAAGAGGATCAGCACAGAGAGGTCTGTCCTTTGTCTGGACTTGTCTTTGCAAGGCTCTTGCAGAATTCCAGTCAGGACTCAACCTCTCTTCTCTCTTCTTTTTCCACAGGAACTGAAGGGGCACTTCCAGCACCTGCTGGGGGGTCTCCACTTTGGACATGGGCAGCGCAATTGTCCACACAACTTTCCAGGCCATCCTAGAAGAAAAGAATAAGGAGGACAGGGAGGTATGAACTTAGTCTTGACTTCTCTTGACTTTTCTTGTCCCAGGTCATTGAGAGTTGCCAGGAAGTTGCGCTGAGAGGCTTCAGGATCATTCAGACCTCTGACCATCTGGCTGCAGAGGCCATTTAGGTTGTGTGAGGGACCCCCACAGGGAGGTGGGTGGGTGGGAGGGTCAGGGATGGGCAGGCCAAGCTTGGAGTTTGGGGTTGGGGCCATCATCCTGACTTTTCTCCTCCGTTCTCTTCCAGGACCTCCGTGATGATTTTAACAAGTGTCCCCTAATCCTTGACTTGATAATCAGAGATGATAAAGGGGAGTCAGGGACTCTGTGGTGGGGGCAATGGAGGGCCACTTTGGCCCAGACTGGCCCCTGACTCGGAGACGCTCTTTCCTCTCGCAGGACCTCCGATGTTACACCCTAGAAGAAGTGGGGAGCCAAAAAACCTGGCATCCAGCAGCATCTCTTCGCTGCTGGCCTTTGCCCGAAGGTTCCCCCATCTCAGAGCAAGTAGCTCTCCTTCATGGATTCAGTCCTTTCAACACTTCCATCTCCCCAAGAGGCGCCCAAGGCTACTCATCCTCTGCAGTTGATAACGGACCTAACTGAAAAAAACGGCTTACTCTTCTGGTGACATCAGAGAATTCTAGACCGTTAGAATGTTTAGTCGTTTAGTCGTGTCCAACTCTTTGTGACCCCGTGGACCAGAGCACTTTGGTCAGACTCATGTTTGTAGCTTCGAGAACACTGTCCAACCATCTCATCCTCTGTCGTCCCCTTCTCCTTGTGCCCTCCATCTTTTCCAACATCAGGGTCTTTTCCAGGGAGTCTTCTCTTCTCAGGAGGTGGCCAAAGTCTTGGAGCCTCAGCTTCAGGATCTGTCCTTCCAGTGAGCACTCAGAGCTGATTCCCTTCAGAATGGAGAGGTTTGATCTTCTTGAAGCCCATGGGACTCTCAAGAGTCTCCTCCAGCACCATAATTCAAAAGCATGAATTCTTTGGCGATCAGCCTTCTTTATGGTCCAGCTCTCACTTCCATACATCACTACTGGGAAAACCAGAGCTTTAACTATACAGACCTCTGTTGGCAAGGTGATGTCTCTGCTTTTTAAGATGCTGTCTAGGTTTGTCATTGCTTTTCTCCCAAGAAGCAGGCGTCTTTTAATTTTGTGGCTGCTGTCACCATCTGCAGTGATCATGGAGCCCAAGAAGGTAAAATCTGTCACTGCCTCCATTTCTTGCCCATCTATTTGCCAGGCGGTGATGGGACCAGTGGCCATGATCTTCGATTTTTTGATGTTGAGGCATTCCCCTTTACACAGCAGAAAACTAGCTGCAAAGCTGTGTGAGTTTTTTAAGACAATATGCAATTCCATCTGACTTGTCCAGGTTGAAATGTGTTCTAATATTTTCCTGGTAAGACCCCTTGAATCCCTCCTAAAAGAATAAAGACACCACACTCTTATTCATAAGCAATAAAAAGAAAGTTTACTCACGATCAGGCAGAGCACAGTGTGATCCCTGAAGGCAGGCTTAAGGCTTAAAGTTACAAGCATATACAAACAGGTTTACCCCATAAGGGGGATTTACCTAGTGACTGCAGGCTAGCAGTTTGGGAATTTCGCAGGACGAAAGGAAGATGGAAAAGAGAGAGAGAGGCAGCGTGCCTTGTCCTTTGACCAGGTCTGGAAAGGTCACGCCCATCCACTAGTCACAGGCCAGGAGGAACAGGAAGCTTCGACTGGCTGGACCGAATATTCCCTTGTATGTCCACTCTAGCAAAACAAGGAATGTTGTATTTGACTGCTCCCAGTGGGTTACATCCCACAGCTGCCCCGCTCCCAAGGGATCCCTCTACTGTTCACAAGCCCCCTTAGAGAAGCTCCAGCTCCCTTGCCTGCCTTTTCCTTTGTCCCAAGGATGGAAGACAAAGGCTCCCTCCCCAAGGAATGTGGAGCCTGCAACCCAAAAGGGGAGGCCTGTTTCTGGTGCTGAGCAAAAGGGGGTGAGTCAGGCCAGGCCCAGGGGAGGCTGATCTGTCGGGGCAGATGGGGCACCCCCCCCCAAGCTCAGGCTGCCCTCGGCCAGCTCCTACTTGCCTGATCTCTTGCTTGTGCCCAGTCTGGGGGCGGCTCTGACTCTCCTGTCATGAGCTGGTTGGACACAGAGGAATGGGGGGGGGACCAGCTGGGGAACCATCAAGGGAAGAAGGCTCACAGCCTGGGAAGCAATGGTGGGACAATGATCAGTAGTCAGAGGGAGAAGAGGGAAAGGACTGGGAAGAGGAGGTGTCGGAAGCTGAAGAGGGAACAGGGCTTAGTGAGCAGGGAGAGTCTGTGGCAGAGAGCAGTGCAGACTCAGAGGCTGAAGCAGGGGAGGAGGGAGGCAGAGAGGAGGGAAGCAGTGAAGGGTCAATGGTGTCTTCTCCCTTGTGCTGGTCCCGTGGGTTACCCGAGAGGCGAGGTCCAAGGTCAAAGATGCAACGTGGAGGCAGTCGGTAGTAGCTGAAGCTGGGTGCAGGGCAGGGAGTCGGGTGAAGTCAGGAACAGGCTTGCAAGCAGGAAGCCAGGGCAGGTCAGGAGCTCAGGCAGGAACTAGCAACCAACAGTGTTGCTTCCACAACCTGGGACTGGGCTGGCAGGCTTTTATCTGCCACGAGGCATACGACGGCCACGATCCTCAGGTGACTCGCCTCTCCTGGCCTGGAGGCGAGCACTCCTCCTGTGAGAACTTAGTTCCCTCCGCCTCTCTGCCCTGAGCCTCTGCAGCTCAGGAGAGGCTGGAGGGTTACCGGACCCAGAGGCAACCTCACCTTCCTCTGACGGGGCTGAGAGTGGAGCACCTGCAGGCAATGGGTCCTCCATCACCTCAGGAGCCAGAGCAGGCTCAGCTGATGCCTGCACCTGAGGACCCAGCACAGGTGAGGACCCTTCAGGCTCATGCCCTAGCCCCGGCTCAGCTGGTTCTGGAGGCGGGGAATCCTGTGCAGGCTGGGATCCCTCAGGTTCAGCATCTGAGTCCGAATCCCAGGCCATCACACCTCTCCTGCTGCGGCAAGCTCCCCTCCCACTGGGTCTCCAAGAACCAGAAAAGGAATGAAATGGGAGGAGCGAAGGCAGACTGGATGTAGGCAGAGTGTCCTGAATGCACCAGCTCCCAGGGTAGATTTACAGGCAGCTGGAAAAAGCAGGCAGTAAGAGAGGGTTAAACGCAAGACTGGATGAGCATAGCTGAGAGTCAGCTCCCCAACCCTTAGGAATGCCAACTGATAACAGCTCTGATGGCAGCCAACCAGCAGTTTGTCAGCCAACCAGTGAAGTTCCAACTACAGAGACTGAAATCAGTCATAGCCCAGAGTGCGGGAACGACCACGGAAGTTCATTGTCCGGAAATGAGGAAGGGAAGGGAGCTGACCCCCTTAGTCCAAGGTCTAGGAGTATAGGGGGTCTTCAAGGCAGAACACGTCACAAGAGAGGACTGGGCTGCTTTTGGCTCCACTGGAAGAAGCCTCCTTGATAGGGACATCTTTGATTTATGGATGGATGGCTGTGCTTGCCGCTCCAGTCGAACTCTGTTTGTTTGTTTTTTACAATAAATCTCCTTTCCAATTAACCACGCTCGTTTGTAATCAACACTCCCTGACACGCAGTCTCGGATTGCTTGGCAAAAGCACTGGGGAGGAGGGGAGTTAGATGGCTGAACGTTCGGCCTCAGCAACTGTCAGTCTCGGCTATTGTCAGAAGGATTCCAATTCATGGTCGCTTCCACCGCACACCTGAACACCCCTCTCTCCCCTCAGAAAGAGAGTGGCTGATTTGGGAAGGTGAGGAGATGATGGGGGGTGGCTCACCCCAGGACATAAAAGAAGCCTCTGGCAAAGGGAAGACTTGAAGCAAGATAGATGTCCCACATGGAGGCCCTGCAAACACTCTGCCAAACGGAACATGGGGCTTTTCCTAGGATGGGGAACAGGATTCTCTCCTCCTCCTCCTTCTCCTCCTCCATCCTTCTCTTCCTCCTCATGAAGGGCCTAAAATCCCAGGAGCAGAGCCTGGGCGCGCGGGTGAGGGGGCTGACAGACCAGTCCTGGCCTCCCCATGGCCTCCTCCTTCCCTTCCCACCCTTTTCTCCCTCTCTTTCCTTCCAGGTCCCCTCTAGGAGGCCTGTCAGGAGAGGGAACTTCAGCCCCATGGAGAGGCAAATGGAATCTAGCAGCCCCCCAAGCGACTCTCCCCCCTCCGCTGCCTGCCAGCCCCACATTATTAATGAATTGCCTGTTTATTTGTGACCTGCACTGGTGACCCATGAATCGATGGATGAGCCTCCGGGGAACTCTGGGGTCACGCGCTGCCTTCAGCCAGGCCAGGGGATGGAGACTCCCGGGAGATGAAACAGTCCTTGGATGCTTGATGCAGGTCCCTGGCTAAGGAAGGCCCCAATCCCGGATGGAGTTTAGCACATGGCGGCCTGGGGCATATTATTATTATTATTACACTGGTCAACAACAAATTTGTTGTCTGCGTTTTTTCAGTTGATTTAGGACGAATCTGATGC